GCTGTAGGGGTGTCAACACGAGAGTGGCTCTCGCTCACGCTGGGGTCGATCGATGGTCGCAAGTCCTCAGAAAGTCGGGCGTCCACATCGCCATCGGCACGGAGCCCGTCTGTATTCCTGTCTGTCCTGACAGATCCAGACCAATCGACCATGGAGCGCAGCGACTCGACGAGAGCGTCCAACGCAACGCGCTGATGACGTACTCCTTTGGGAATCTCCGACTCGGGGGCTCGGCGTGTGGGACTATCTGCGCGACAGACAGAGGCGGTGGCAGAATGGGGCGAAGCTGCCACTCGCCGGGCGACGGCGTCTCGCGGCCTTCTCTTCATACTGCTGCTCCTGGCCGGGTGTGATGGGGACTGCTGCTGTCGAGTACTTGGACAAATCCTCAATGATGGTCTGGAAGAGATTGTCGACGTTGCCTTCGCAGTCGTAATTCAGATACACCTCAACAAGACCCCTCGAGTCGGCGCAGAACCTGTTGAGAATGGTGACGACCGTGGCCTTCTGTGAGGCCGGGGCGGTCCGCCTTGCCAGCAAGGCAAGATAGATCTCGTTCAAAAAGACGGCAATTTCGAGCTGATGAACTGTCAGTGCGGCGCAGGAGCACAGCGATGGAGGAGGGGACGCACCTTGAACTGCTCCCGCATGAACTTGAGCACGAGCCAGAAAATCTCGGCGCAGACATTAAAGATGCCATCGACCGAGCTAGCTCCGTTGCGGGTCACGCTCAGGCAGATGTAGTACTTGATCGCTTGTATGAAAGTCGTAACTTCGTCGGTCCGGGAATTCCTGATGGTACAGAGGGGGGAGGTGAAGACAGTAATGTTGTTGTTCATGAGGGTATGGATGAGGTGGAGGGAGATGAGCTTGGAGCGCATGGGCTGGCCGCGGACCTCGTACAGCTGCTCGGTAGGCAGGACCTTGGTGGACAGGTTGCAGAAGGATCGGAAGACGAGGTAGGCGTCGCGGATGTAGACCTCGTCCTCGGCTTCGAGCTCGTCGTAATTGTCCTCTTCCTTGGCCGACGACTGCGACTCGGTGCGCTCCATCTTGGCCGGCTTGATCTGGGTGACCATGGTAGGGCCTTCGCCGAGGGTCGAATCGTCAAAGCTCTTCCTCGTCTCGAGATCCTTCAGTGTCAGCTTGGCCTGCGTGGCCTGGGCATCGGGGGCCGGCGCCGGCACGGCGGCCACATCGCTGGCGACGTCGTTGGCGCTGTCCTCCTCCTCTGCCTCGGCACTCTTCTCTCCCGATCCGTTGACCGAGTTGGCTTGTTCGGCGGGGTCGAATGTGATGTTGCTGGAGCTGTTCTTCGTGTTGGCCAGGTTGAGGCGCGCCTCCTTCATGTGCAGTCGGGTCTTGACTCGCTCGAAGACGGTACCGACCATCTGCGTCAGAGTGCCCTGCGCCATCTGCTGGTTGGCAGTGCTCCGCGACAGGAGGAAGACGTTGTAGACCTGGCGCACCGCCTTCAGGAGGCCGGCGCCGTGGACGACGATCTTGTCGTTCAGGACGGCGGCCAGCAACGACTTGACAATCTGCAGCTGTATCTCGACGGGGGTCGTCTCGCCCTGGAAGCATCCGCAGATGGTATCGATGGCCCGCTCGATGAGGGGTGGTGGCTGCTCGCCGTCGGTCTCCTTTTCTCCCCTACCATCTTCGGAAGCGGCGGCGGCCGGGGGCGCGGAGAAGTGTGAATAGGAAATGAGTTTTCCGATGCAATCGAGGGCGCTCGTGATGAGATGGGTGTTGCCCGTCTTGGTGGCCTGGTGCAGAGGCGCAAAGACGACTTCGGGGTCGGGCAGCTGGGGGTCGGCTTCTTTGACGGCTTCGAGGGTCTTTTGCAGCGATTCGGAGAGCTGCTTGTGTCGCTGGGCCTCCTTGGATGCGGCGATGGCCTCCAAGGAGGCGACCAGAAACTTGACGGAGCTCATGAGGGAGCACTGGAGGATCAAGCGGCCATTCGTTCCGGGCGCGGGCAATGTCCAGCAAAGGAGCCTTTGATGTCGGGAGGTAGGTCAACGACGTGGGAGGGGCTCGCAGGAGGCGCAAACTTCTGGGAGCTGTGCTCGACTAGGGGTACCTAGGCTCGACTCGAGATGATGGGGGGCAGACGGAAAGGCCAGCGCAGTCGAGGAAGCTGCAGCGAGAGCTCTTCGTCTTCGAGGAACTCTGCTGTCGGAGATCAACAGATGAGATTGGTGGTGCGGATGTGTGTCCTGTCCTCGGACGAAACCCAAAATTAATTATTTGGATCAAGGCTGGACCCTGGCGTCTGCTGCTTGCTGCTTGCTGCTTGCTGGCTTGTGCAGGCTGACTGTGACGAGCCAGGCCACAGCTCAATGGGTTCGGGTCTTCCATATCGGATTCGAACACGACGCAAGAGTCCGTGCACCGAAGCAGCTCATCTTAGTCAGCCGAATAGGAGAAGTGGGCCAGCGGGACGCGTCAAGGTCAACCCAAGCAAGCGTAAGGCGTCAAAAGCGTGTACCGTAGCGATCATAGGCGCCAGGCTCGCCCGGCCAGCCGCGTCTAGTTTGGTCCACTCCAGGCTGCGGCTTGTCTTCCGACTCAACAATCGCCCCTGGCTCCATCCAGTGATTGGGCCATCCTTACAGTGTGACAGGCCCACAAACCACGATGACCTGTCTGTAAGTAGGTAGGATCTCGCTCTCGGTCAAATCAGCACCGGCCGGCCCAAGACGGGAACCACGCCCTGACGCCGCGCCCTGGAGTGACCGTGAGACCAATGAGAATAGCGAGGACTCCCTTCACCTCCATCGCCGAACGTCGGCCCCCTTCATGACGTCCGCTGACCGGGGCCGGCAGTCTGTCTGCGGGGGAAAGCTACAAAGCCCCTCCATGGACAGGACATGCTGACCCGGATTGCATCCCTACCTTCATCGTCTATTTCATCTACCACTGCCCGCCATGCAGGCCGCCAACAAGCTCAAGTCTGTCTTCACCAAGGGCGCCGGCGCCAGCTTGGGCGTCTGGCAGATGATTCCCAGTGCCAACGTCTCGCGTGCCCTCGCCAAGAGTCCCGGCGTCGACTGGGTCATGGTCGATTGCGAGCACGGCAACATTGACGGCACGCCGCACGATGCTCCCGCACACGGGTCACGTCGTCGCTGACAAGCTCACAGATCGGGCCATGCACGATGCCGTCCCTGCTATTGCCGCCGCCGGTGTCTCTCCCATTGTCAGAATTCCCGACATTCAGGCGTCCCTCGTGAAGCGTGTGTAGCTACCAGTTTTCCTTCACCAACCACCAACCCACAGGGTCCTGACTAACGATCACCCGCAGGCGCCCTTGATTGTGGCGCCCACGGCGTACGGCCGCCCCCTCTCGACTCCCAGACGCCGACTCTGCTGACACGACGACAGGTCCTCGTGCCCCTCCTGCGTACCGCCCAAGAGGCCAAAGATCTGGTCCAGGCCGCCAAGTTCCCGCCGTGGGGCCGCCGCGGCTTCGGCTCGCCCTTTGCCATGGAGCGCTTCACCCCGGCCCCCAGCATGACCGAGTACCTGCAGCAGGCCAACGGCAGCCTCCTGACCATGGTGCAGATTGAGACGCAAGAGGCCCTCGACGCCGTGGACGACATTGCCGCCGTCGAGGGCATCGATGTTCTTTTCGTGGGGCCCTTTGACCTAGGTACACACGCTTTTCCCTCCATGTGAAGAGCTCCTTGTCCTGACGAGAACGCAGCCAACAATATCGGCCACCCCGTCATCGACGGTGTCATGAAACCCGAGCTGCACGAGGCCATTGCGCGCGTCTTGGAGGCCACCCACAAGGCGGGCAAGAAGGCGGGCATCTTTTGCACGTCAGGCGAGCAGGGCAAGCAGTATGCCGAGCAAGGCTTCGACATGATCAGCGTGGCGACCGACTTTACCATTTTGCAGCATGCCGTGGCCGACGCCGTCAGCGTTGCGCGCGATGGGCCGAGGCCGGCCAAGGGCACGTCGTACTGACGTGGTGCTCTTCGAGAAGAAAGACACCGCTATGTACCACGCCGTGCGTATAGTCTCTGTAGACGAAAGCGCATACAGTATTTCGATGCGTTGCTCCAAGGTGTGATGCTTCTTGATCCTCTGCGTTTGAATTCCGCATCACTGTCCTCTGCAAACATTTCCAATGCGGCAGGATTCTCAGGGGAGAAGTGATTTGCAGAGCTGCATTACTTGCGTAAAGCGAATACTCCTTGAAGAAGCTGCACCCTCCTTTTGGCTGAGGCGAACCTTCGACCGTGCTGAAGAAATGGCATTTGCATGATGTATGATTCGCAGTATACAGAAGGCATGCTAGTGCTCCCACGTTCACTCACTGCTCTGAGGACTATTAACTGGTCTGAAGAATAAATGCTGGGATCGAATCCATTCCTGAATGAATTTGAAGTTTTCAACAACCACCACAACGATACCTTCACCAAAAATAGACGCCCTCCCGGAAGTCAAAGAATCGCATCGGACATCGAGCTGTTTGCCGTCACAGTCACGAGGCCCATCGTCCGGAGCAGGTTCATGGAATGGCCTCGTTTTCTATCTACCTAAGGTAAATAGGTAGGTAGGCAGGTAGGTAGCTGTGGCAGGCGCTGTGGTGAAATACAAGACCGTCGTACAAGAAAAGAAGGATTGGCTCCGAATTGATCCGAAGTGGAGCCTACCGCCCTGCAGCTTCCGTGAATTTGTCGGGGTGCGCTAAGGCCGAAAAAGGCATAGCGCCTCAAGCTCCGTTCCCATCGGACGCCGGTGCGAGCTCAACGCAAAAAACTGCCAGCCCCAACTTCACCCTTGGCCTCGCCTTCTGTTTCCGAGCCCATCGCCTCGAAATATCCCGCGTCGCTTCTTCTCCTCCCATCTCCCTTCCCCCCCCATCCGCCCTCTTCAGTCTGACCTTCAATTGCTGTCGGTCAATTTGTCCGGAGCCATTCTGACTCTCTTTCTTGGGGTTTGATCCAGCATCCTCCGTCACCCCTCAGCTCTCGCTCTGTCTCCTCCTTCCGGGTGATCCTTACCCCATCACCAGAACCATCAACACGACGACCACAAATCCGACACAATGATCTCCACCGTTCTGCGAAGGCGTGTCCTGCCTCAGGGCCTGCGCACCAGCCTCTCCACCCACATCATCCGCTGCTATGCCTCGTACCCGCCGCACACCGTCATCAAGATGCCCGCCCTGTCACCCACCATGACCGCTGGCGGTATCGGCGCCTGGCAGAAGAAGGCCGGCGATTCCATCGCGCCCGGCGATGTCCTGGTCGAGATTGAGACGGACAAGGCCCAGATGGACTTTGAGTTCCAGGAGGAGGGTGTTATTGCCAAGACCCTCAAGGAGAGCGGCGAGAAGGATGTTCCCGTCGGCAGCGTAAGCCTCCCATTTTCCCCTATGCCCATGCACTGTCATGCAGCCTCGCGCGTTCCAAGCTAACAAGTCAGCCCATCGCCGTCCTTGTCGAGGAGGGCACCGATGTTAGCGCCTTCGAAGGGTTCTCCGCCGCCGACGCTGGTGGTGATGCCCCGGCGCCCGCCCCCAAGAAGGAGGAGAAGTCCGAGTCTTCCTCCTCTGCCTCCGAATCCGCCCCCACGCCCGCGCCCGAACCCGAGGACAACGGTCCCGCCGGCAAGCTCGAGCCCGCCATCAACCGTGAGCCCAACGCCTCCATTGGTGCCGTCCGCCTCGCCCGCGAGAAGGGCGTCAAGGTCGCCGACATCAAGGGCACCGGCAAGGGTGGCCAGATCACCGAGGAGGACGTCAAGAAGGCCGCCTCCTCGCCTGCCGCCGCTTCCAGCTCCGCCTCGGCCGCCTACGAGGACATCCCCATCAGCGGCATGCGCAAGACCATTGCCAACCGCCTGCAGGAGTCTGTCCAGACGAACCCCCACTTCTTCGTCACGAGCTCCATCTCCGTGTCCAAGCTCCTGAAGCTGCGCCAGGCCTCAACGCCTCGAGCGAGGGCAAGTACAAGCTGTCCGTCAACGACTTCCTCATCAAGGCCATCGCCGTCGCCTCCAAGAAGGTGCCCCAGGCAACTCGAGCTGGCGCGGCGACGTCATCCGCCAGTCCTCGACCGTCGACGTCTCCGTCGCCGTCTCGACGCCCACCGGCCTCATCACCCCCATTGTCACGGGCGTCGAGGCCCGCGGCCTCGAGTCCATCTCCTCCCAGGTCAAGCAGCTCGCCAAGCTCGCCCGCGACGGCAAGCTCAAGCCTGAGCAGTACCAGGGTGGCACCATCTCCATCTCCAACATGGGCATGAACCCCGCCGTCGACAACTTCACCGCCATCATCAACCCCCCTCAGTCCACCATCCTCGCCATCGGCACCACCCAGAAGGTCGCTGTCCCCGTCGAGAACGAGGACGGTACCACCGGCTTCGAGTGGGACGAGCAGCTCAAGGTCACCGGCAGCTTCGACCACAAGGTCGTCGACGGTGCCATTGGCGCCGAGTGGCTCAAGGAGTTCAAGAAGGTCCTCGAGAACCCCCTGCAGCTGCTGCTGTAAGGTGCTTTCGAAGCGAGATGGACAGAACAGTGTGGAGGGGAATTGGAGAGCCTCCGGCGCGAGGTGGCAAAGACCCATCGGGCCGTCTCCCGCCTTTTTGAGATGATGTGAAATATACAAAAGGTGTACGGCGGGTCGGAGGGCACAGAAAGAGAATGTGTATGTGGGAAAGAGAAGTGAATTGAGGGTTGTGAGAGAGAGAGGGGCCCGGCGCTTGCATGTCTTATCGAGAAACGGCTTGCTTGGCTCGGCTCAGTGGATAGAAGGTTTGCGCACCGCCGTAGCCTGCGTCCCGTGTACAGTGATCTCTGGTTAATGCTGCGGTTTGCTCTGCGGAAAAAAAGAGGTTTTCTGTCTTGTACATTGGTGTTCCCTCCCCCGTTTCCCCTTTACCTAGAATACAAGCAGAGGCCGTTCCGTTGCAATCAATCTTGTCTTTTATCTGAATGTGCTGGCTGCGTTCGATGTACGTGTTTTCGCTTCTGGATGTCTTCCAAGCTTGACTGCTATGCCATCAGTGACGCACAGGGCGTCGATACTAGAGTATGGTCCACTTACGGCCACCCTCAACACCATGCTTTCATGACAGAAAATGCCATCAAACCGTGCGATTTCGTTGAAAGATCATGTTTCAGGTACGTGAACATCTGAAAGACCCAGAAACGCTCTCATCCCGCTTCGCCACTCCGTCCCTCAGTCCTTCGCATAAGGGTCATCTTCCCACAACGACAGTGCGCCCAGGAAAAGCTCCTCCAGCGGCTTCCCCTGCACTATTCCCAGCGCCTTCACCCCGCTGCACAGGAAACTCACAGTGTCATGACGTTACCTGCCGCAACACAGGCAGCACCCGCCGGGCTCACTTCCACTGTTCGATATACCGAAACCGTTGTATCCCAACCGACGACGTCGCCGGACGGGCACGCGCAGAGCCTAGCACCAGGCAGAGCACCCCGCAGCATCCCTTGCGGCAACGTCTGTGAGTGCGGCCGGGCTATGACGGGTATCGGGGTCCTCTTCCTTGCACATGACAGCGCTAGAAGAGGGGGAGGGGAGGACCTGGCGTATGGCCTGGGTGAGCGCGCTTTTTCAGACGAGGAGCTGCAGGGCTGGGACGTAGGGCGGTGCGTGAGGTGACTCGGCGTTGTGTTGGCGAGGGGCGTTTCGAGAGGCAGCGAGAGTGGCGTCAGTTGCATGTAGCCGGCTGAGCGTGAGATGGCAGTGAATTTGTGATCTCCTTGTCTGTCGAAACTGCTGCCGAGCAGGAAATGGAGATCCCAGACACGCTTTTGCACCTCCGCCTCGTGATGGCACAACAGACAAAGTGTGGCCAAGGTGTTGACGTCAGCTCCTAGATCGAATGAGCTTTGCGCTACAGACTTCGTCATGCTGGTGCGGCCATGGCATGAATACTTGCAAGCAGAGACACGTGGGATGGTACGGGAACGAGGAGCTTGGGACGTCGATCAATCGCGTCGTCGATGCTCGTGTCTGCTCAACAGAAGCTGTGTCGTGTCCCGCTTCTACGACAGCACGACACCAGATACGCGAGCGAGATATACTTCCAGCAGTGTCATCTTTGTCGGACACGGTTTGCAGAGCTGTCATGTGAAATGGGACAAACGTCATAACCTCTAATGCCAGGACTGATCTCCGCAAACCGTTCTTAACTTATGTTCATGCCGAATTGTGACAAGTGCCTGTTATGATAACGTCTGGTAGACTTGTTTGCGACGATCGTGGTTCATCCGTCCTGCTGGCAAGGGTTTGAACTGGCCATTCGGCTCATCAGGCTGAGCTGCTTCGCTTCCGTGATGGCAGTGTCGAATTACGTACTCACATGGTATACGACTGAATCTGTATTTTTTAGTTCGTCCCGTTTGACTGTACAATATATCTTGAACATAACCTAAGCAATCCTCTAATTATCAACCACTAGGCGTGGCTATCCCTCCAGATTTTGCCACAGGGGCGAAGACCATGTCCGCTCATTTGGATAAAAGCCCAAGAGGAGGAAGAAATGTGGCGGGCCCGAGGCCGATCAAGTCTCATATAGAGTCCCAGGAACATTGGAATCATGACCAGCACTGCGCCCCTTGCGTTATGAGAACGTCAGCATAGCTGCCTCCACTCTAGTGCTGGCGTCGGACTCTTGACGGCAAGAAACAATCTTGAGCACGTACTAGCTGCCCTTACATGCAATAAGCAGAAACAAAAACATAGCTGCCGAGAATGATCGCAAAAATTCATCATTCTGCACTGATGTCAAACATTTCTAAGAGTTTCCACGGGGCAAGTGGGTGGCTGTTGTAGCCTGCCTGGTGCGTGGTACGAGCATGGAGGCTCTCTCGGTGGGCGTTGTGAAAAAGAACAACTCCAACGGGGCAGTATGGACCCTGTGGCGTGATAGCACCCGAATGGCTTGATGATACAGGCCAGAGCTGAATACTGACTGCATGAGCGCATGCCATGAAGTAGCAAGAGTAACCTCCCGCACCGTCATGGCATCACAGCGCTGTGTAACCGTAGCAGTCAGGCACAACAATTGCATGACGAGTGCTGTGATTCAGGCCTAGGGTCACCTGAACCCCGAAGAACTGGGACCTTTAGGTTAAGGCACATAATGGCGGATACTTCGCGCACCCTCCGACTTCCACACCAGTCAAAGAGTGGTCCCTATAGTCTTGAAAACACGATAGGCTTGTTTTGGCATTTAGCCCACTACGCTTTCTATGAAAATTCGCAAGTCTTCGGCCTCCTCTTCGACAGTCCGATCAGGCAAGCGCTGGAGGGCGGCTCGCAGCTCATCATCACCCCGCAGGGCAACCGACAAGATCTCCCTCAATGTCTGCACAATAATCTGGCTGCTGCTGCCCCCCTCCTTCGCCCTGACTCTCAACAGGCTGATCAGTGTCTCGAAAAAGTCTATCAGACTGAGGTGCATGAGAAGGTCGCTCTTGTCGACCATTCTCAACGCCACAAACTGCAGCAGGCCGCTTTGCCTGGCCTCGGCTTCGGGGTCGATGCCTCCCATGAGCTCGTCGTCACTGGGCTTCGGAGGCGGCTGGGTAACGAGGTCAAAGTCGCGTAGTGCCAGCCGGGGCAAAAGTCGAAGGAGCCTTCCCTGTGCCAGGGATGTCTGGCGTTCGTCGAGAACCTCGCCAGAGATGTCCCGCCCCTGAGGCAGGGCTACGAGTAGATTGTAAAGGTCCACATCGTGAGTGAGTCGATGCCAAAGAACGCCCTCGCCGCGGGGCTTATGGATGTCCGCCAGCTCGTTGTTTCCGTGGTCGCCATTTGTGGACCCATTTGTCCAAGGCACGCCGTTGACCGTGATGGCCTCTCTTGGTATGCGCAGCGGTGGTGACTGGGAGTCAATCTCCAGCAAGTCACCGAGGACGCGCGTGCCCCGTTCACCCACTTCGACTTGTGGCGCAGACAGCCATCGCCGTATGAAATGCTCGAGGAGTCTCGGCATCGAAGCTAGGATGGCGATATCGGCAGGCGTTGTGGCCTTGTGCAGGACGGCCATGGCGAGCAGGTTGGCGGAAGGTGCGGGTGAGTCGAAGGCTGTGATGAGGGCCGTCTCGTCGGCTAGGGAGAGTGTTTGGGTGAAGGAAACATGACGCAGCAGTCGGATGGACAGGGAGACGGGAACAGCCGGATCCTTTCGTGTCGTGAGAAGAATGGTCGTAAGCTTGGGGAGGAGGGTTGGCAGGAGTGGTGGGACGTTGGATTCTAGCAGCAGTCAGTTGGCAACCCTTGGGCATGAATAGGGCACCGTCTATGGGGGCGTACCAGTAAGCTGCAGCTCGACATCGTCAAACAACTTTGGCTTGAAGTCGGCGTCAGGGTCTTGGATAGCTTCGTCGAGGTGGGCAGAGAGCTGATCGAGGCCGGCGATGGGCACATTGCCGTCGACGAACGACGGCACGATGTTACCTGACATGTTGATGAAATGTAGGCCCAGAAGGCCCTCGCGCAGGAGATAAATGAGATGAAAGGTGTCGGAGATGAGTATGCGTGAAGACTGATCGCCACAATCAGGAAGGCAGCGAATATAACGACGGCAGTCAAGGCAGAAGTGGTACGTCGTGGGGATGCCTGAAGCTGATGTCAATAGGTACCTACCTGGTAGGTGGGGGAAGGTCGTCAAATGGAGGGGAGCAGCAGCAGCAGCAGCAACAGTAGCAGCAAGGGTCCAGCGCGTGGTCGACAGGCACCCTTCAGCAGGCGCTAGTGGCCCAAGCTCCTGCCCTGCAACTGCTGCAAGACATGGACATGGTGTGGGGCTGCCATCGCCCATCGTCCTTGCCCATCGTTCATCGTCCCCGACCGCGCGCGGAATTTACCCCGCTAAAAAATAAGTCATCTTCGAAGGCTCATCGCCTGCCATATTCTACAGATCAGAGAGACCATTGCGTCCTCGATACTACGCCACGCCTTCCGACCCCTCCCGCACGCTCAAACCCTTCAATACAGCATCACCAAGATAATTGACACAACCTCATGTCCCGCGGCGGAGGCAGAGGCGGCGGTCGCGGCGGCCGAGGTGGACGTCGCGGCGGCGGCGGCCCCCAACTTCCCTGGGAAGGCGAAGACGTCGACGCTCGTCCCTCCGAGCTTTTCCCTGTTCGTTAATTCCCTCTTTGCTGCCAATGGGCCGTATATTCGAGTAGTTGTGCTAACAGAAGACAGGCCTACTCCGTCCCCGAGGCGAAACCTCTGACATCCCAAGAAACCCGTTCCGTCGCAGCCTTCCTCCTCCTCCGCCACCAGATCCACGACGGGCCCCTTTACACGACACGCAAGCTCTACACAGCCGCCGACTCGGCTTTCTCCTCGTCCCACAAACACTACGGCCAGGCCCAGCTCAACGCCAAATACGCTGCCGGCGGCGGCGGCGCCCGCACAAAGGCCAACCAGGACCCCTTCACCGCCGTGCCGACCTACGCCCAGCGCTTCGTCCGCGCCGAGCGCACGCTCCCCGACTTTGGCGCGCGGCCCTACTGTCCCGAGTTCGTGCCCAAGGAGCTGCACGCCACGTTTGAGGGCGCCGATGGGCCCGGCGGAGGCGGCGGCGGCGGCAGGAAGAGGAAGCGCGGGTTCCAGCTGTCGTCTATACGGGCGCTGCCCACGGCAGAGGATGTCTTTGGCATTACGCTGCCCGAGGACGAGTGGGACGAAGAGGCCGGCGGAGAGGACGCGACGAAGAGGAGACTGGAGGCGCTGAACAGGATGGGGCGGGAGCCCGAAGGCGAGGAGGCCGAGATGGGCGAGGACGACGAGGCGGAAGAGGAGGAGCAGGATGAGGAGTACGACGATGAGGATGCCGGCGATTACAATGCCGAAGAGTACTTTGAAAACGGCGATGACATGGATGACGACGGCGGCGATGACGACCAGGGCGGGGACGCCTACTGATTGATCGCTACACACACAGTATGACCATTGCCCGCAAGGGACATGTGCAACGTGGATACTGGAGGGAAAGGGGGCGTTTGACCGTCAACCGGGGTTGGTTGGCGCGGACTCACTGAGCCAGGTGGCTTCTAGATACCCTGCTATATGAATGAAAGCATATTTCTGTCATGTGTATGCCCCTGATCAACGTACACGTGTGTGCCATATCAGCCAACGTTCATGCCTTACACAGGGTATCTATGGCCTATTTGCCCCTCTGAACATCAAAATCATTTCACTTGCTATGCATCCCTAGCGATGCCCCGAAACGCCAAACCAAGTCCAACCCTGCCCTTGACCGTGCCTCTGCCGCAGACCTTTCTCGTGTCCAGCTCCAGCAGGCTGTCTCGCCTGCATTGAATCCAACTCAGTCGAGACAAGCCGCACTGCAACAGTGCAATGAAAATGCACCGGGGCCACGAGCCAAGATCCAACGCCACCCGTACCCCAGAGCCAGCGTTCCACTTTCACTTGCGCGAAGGCACCGTGCGCAGCTGAAGTTCCGTCAACTTCTCACGCGACTCAACGATCAGGCCAGCCGCGCGGACAATCTCGTCGCCCAGCGCCTTGACCGTATCGAGGAGCTCGACGGCGAACCCAAAGCCGGCAAAGTGAGGCGCTCCGTCGCGCAGGGCGCGCATCCGCTCGTAGAGACCGTTCTCGACACCGGGCATGTGCTGCTCCATCTCCTTAACCTTCTGGACCTGGAACTGGTGCATCTGGTTGAGACGGTCGGCCTCGTTCGAGAAGAGCGTGATGCAGTCCTCGAGAGCGGGCTCCTCTTCCTTGTCCTTGGATTTGGCGGCCGGCTTGTTCGCCGTCAGCCAGGTCGTGTGGTAGTGAGCAGGCAGCTTGAGCTGCTCGGCGCCGGCAAAAGCGGCCTTGGCAATGTCGGCGTCGGACTTGACCACCTCCTTGAGCTGCGCTGTCATCTTGACGTCGTCTTCGAGGGTCGTCTTGACGCCGTCGAATTTGCGCGTCAGCCACTCGACATCGTGGGTCAGGCGCGCCAGGTCGCCTTCGTGAGCCGTCATGAACGACTTAATCTGGCCGGCCTGGCTCATGTACTGTTGGATAATGTTGTCGCACGTCTCAATCTCGCGTTGCAGTTCGGGGTGAGATCGTTAAACTTGGTCGTGCCCTTGACGTTGCGAGTCGATGCGCACACCTGAAATGGCGCCCTGGTTCGTCGACTGGCCCATCGTGAGGCCGGCGCCGGTCGACTGCTGGGCGGGAGCAGCGGTGGAGCCCCCGCTGGAGCGAGTTAGTGGGAGAAGACAGGAAATGGGCGAGATGGGACGTACAAGAGCCCGGCCGGCTTTTGCTGGGTTGTAGAACTGAAAAGACCACCACTCTGCTGCTGCGGTTGTTGCTGCTGCTGCTGCTGAGTGTTCAGTGCCGTCGAGGCACCGAACAATCCACCTCCAGCCTGCTGTTGGTTGTTTTGAGTCGTCGAGGCACCAAATAATCCTCCACCAGTCGACTGCTGCTGCTGCTGCTGCTGGGGTTGACCGAGAGTAGATCCACCAAAGAGACCACCGCCACCTGTTGAGCCCTGCTGCTGCGTTTGCTGATTGCTAGCCGTGTTGCCAAAGAGGCCGCCGCTGGCCGGCTGCTGTTGGGACTGGGTGTTTGCGCCGCCACCAAAAAGGCCACCGCTGGCTGGCTGCTGGGCTGTGGTTGAGCTCTGCGTGTTGCCGAAGAGACCCCCACCACTGCTGCAAAGAGGACGACCACGTTAGACAGAGGCCTTGCTAGCTGTCGTCTGCAGGAGAATCGCAGAGCACGACAATAATCTCAGGAACGTACCTCGGAGTGTTGAGCGTGAGCCCTGCTGGTTTGTTGGCGGCGAACATTTCGACTACGCAAAGTAAGACACGGTTCCCGGTCTAGGATCAAGATCCTTCAATCGCGTACCTTGCGGTGCTGGAAGTCTTTGGCTGTTGTTCTTGGTTGAGGCCCTCGCAGGATGGCTACGCTTGAGAGGGAATGTAGGCGCGACGAGTCTAGGCACAAACGTGAAGTCGAGCTTTGGTGTGCTTGGAATCTGATTGGCTGAATTGGAGTGAGAGCTTCGATTCGGTGGGCCTCCGGTGGCAGGGGCTCCACCGAGGGACGCCAAGTGCCTCCCGACCATCCCCGACGTTGTGCCGTTCGGTGTGCTTCGGTGTAGAGACAGCTTGGAGCTTGGGATCAACTTCGGTTGTTGTCCCTGGTCGTTGTGGATTGAAGCACCCAGTCCTCCTCCAAAGCCGGGTTCCATCATAGCGACGTCGCCCTCTGCATCCATAGGGTCCCGCCGTACTGAACGCACTCTACCCGAATTCGAAGCCATATCGCAAAGAAGGCGCAATGGACGTTGACGACGACGAGGATTTCTACTCGCCCGAGCCTACAGAGGCGACGGAAAAGGCGACAAAGACGGAAGCTTCAGCGTCGCCGACACCAGTTCCCAAGGAGGAGCCGAAGACGGAGCTGGAGGAAGGCGAGGAGGAAGATGAAGGTGGTGCAATGGATGAGGACGACAGTGATTCAGTCAGTTCCTTCCGCCTTGAACTACATCACTGGAGCCTCCGCTGACCCTCTGTCGTAGGACATCGACATCATCACGGAGCGCAAAGACGGCACAAAAGCTGCCCCACCAACGTATGCCCCGCGGACGTTGTGCGTGCATCTTGAACCTTCCAATACTGACGTGACGCGCGCACCAGACAATCGAGGTACAGCGACATTCGCAACATCCCTCAAAGGACCGCTTCTAGCGACATCGCCGTCAAACCAGCAGCCCCGGCTGCATCCTCGTCCAAGTCCCCCGCACCCAAGTTCGAGTCTCCTGCAGTCGCTCTGGCTGTGCCCAGTGCCGACAAGGTCGCCGCCGCCGCATCAAGTTCGAAGATCGACGTCAACGGCAATCCCATCCATGCAGGCTCGGGCAAGCATATTACGGCAGTCAACATTGACGAGGGTATGTTGGCGCTTGTAACCACGCCTCACACGGCACATGGCTAATGGACAAACAGACCTCGGCGATAACGAAAAGCCATGGCGCAAGCCTGGTACCGACATCAGCGACTACTTCAACTATGGCTTCGATGAGTTCACATGGGCATTATATGCCGCCAAGCAGGAGACCATCCGCGGCGAGTTCAGCGGCGACCTCATGATGGCGGGCA